TTTAAATAAATAAGTGCTGTTTTAATTGCCAGTGTTATCTTTTCATGAGTACTTTCTAATTCCTTGGTTTCTTTGTCAAATATATACTGATTTTTGTCAAATAAGTTTTTCGTTTTATTCTGTTAATTTATTTAATCTTTTTATTCTTTTAACTTTTATTAATGTCTGCTAACTTGTGAAAATTTCAAAAGCCAAAAAACTCATGTTTCCTTTTTCCTTCTCTTGGTTTCTAAATATTTTTAAAGTCACTGAAAATTTTTGCCTTAACTATCACTCAGAGACTTCAAACTTGTAGTAGCAGTTTTTGGTGTAAACCTTCTCTCACCCCATACAACTGACTGCAGTCAGTCATTAGTGTGTTCATCTTATCAGGGATGCTATTTCCACCTTGAGCAACTTTATTTCTTCTCTCTCAGCCTCTATTACCCAGCATTGATTTCTAGGATACTTCCTACTTTTGTTCCCTCCTGATAATTTTTAAGTGCATTTAGACAGGCCTTAGGCAGGGCTTCTTTACACTGTGCCCAGCCAAATATAGTTTAGTCCTTTGCTAACATGTCTTTCGGTTTATATACTAGCATAGCATTGTAACTTATTATTTATTTGTTTATTTGACTTTAAATGCATGAAGGGGGTGGAATATAATCTTTTTTTCTTTACCGCATGCCCAACCTTTAGCACTAACTCTGATTCATGTAATCATTGCTCAATAATATATGATAAAATAACAAAATAGTTGTTTTCTTTGTATCTCCTTTTCTGTTGCTCTCTTACTCTTTCACCTGCCCCATCACAATTTCACTACCAACACGTTATACCAGACAACCGTCATCTAATTTTTTTAAACGGATTTTTAGAAAGAGAGGAAGGGAGAGGGGCACAGAGAGAGAAACATCATTGATTGGATGCCTCCTGCACAACGCCCACCAGGGAACTGGGTATCGCTCTCACAACCCCGGACATGTGTCCTGACCAGGAATCAAACTGACCTCCTGGTTCCCAAGGTGGACACTCAACCATTGAACCACACCTGCTGGGCAACTATCATCTAATTCTTATAATTCATCAAACATTTCTGAATCGTTTTACTCCATTCTCCAGCCAAAGCCTCCTTTACAAACACAGATCTATTCCTACCACTTTCTTTCTGTTCTCCAGTGGGTTCCCACTAGCTTTATGAGAAGGATCAGTCTTATTACAATGACTGCTGGGCCCTAAGCTCTATTTGTGTGCCACCTTCTCCAGTTCAGATCAATACTCAACTGCCCTCTAGTATGTGTTCTCACTTCCTGGAGCACATGTATCTTGTCATGTATCCACGGTATTATTCTGTTTCCTGAAAACAAAAACAAACCTCTGAACCTATTTTTATCTCTGCAAAATTTTCTGTCTTTTCCCAAATAAATTTTTTAAGTGCCAGATAAATTATACATTGATTTCACGAGAGCTTTCCCACCTTCACAAATGAAATACTTGAGTATATGTACACAGAGTATTTTTGTCATTATTTCTTTAAATAATCTCTTCTAAAATAGATTTTTAACCCCATGAGGGCAGATTTTCTCCCAGCTTTATTCAGTATAATTTCACTCCCTGATACAGCCTTAAGTCTGATTTGATCTGAAAGATATGCATTATGACAAAATGAGATCATCACTTGCCTCAAGAATGTTGGAGTAAATAGGCTGAAAAGGCAAAACATACCGTAGATACGTGAAAGTTAAATTCTTGATTACTTACAGGTTTACTACATGACTAATAAATAGTAAAACTTTTTTACTGTCAAAAGTAATTTTGCCCGGCCAGGCGTGGCTCAGCAGTTGAGCATCGACCTAGGATCCAGGCGATCGGAGTTCGATTCCCAGTCAGGGCACATGCCCTGCTTGTGGGCTGCAGCCGATCAATGACTCTCTCATCATTGATGTTTCTGTCTCTCTCTCCCCCTCTCCTTTCCTCCCTCTGAAATCAATAAAGACATATTTAAAAAATAATAATAATTTTAAAAAGAAAATAAGAGTATTTCTATGGGATGAAATGCCTATACCTAAAACAGAAATAATACCGCTTAATTTTTCTTCAGAAATAGTATCACCTTCTATAAAGAAATGTGAGGCATTTATATGTTTAATTTTCTTTGAAACATCAGTTTAAAAATATCCTATTCAGAGATAGAAAGTAGAATGGTGGTTGCCAGGGACTGGAAGGCAGGAGTAATGGGGAGTTGTTTAATGGGTTCAGCGTTCCAGTTTACACAATAAAAAGAGTCCTGAAGATGGATGCTGCACAACAGTATGAATGTGTTTCACACCACTAAATGTATACTTAAAAATGGTTAAGATGGTAAATTTTATATATTTTACCACAATTTAAAAAAATGAAATAGCCCTGGACTGTGTGGCTCATTTGAAGTGTTGTCTTATGCCCCAAAGGGTCTCGGGTGTGATTCCTGGTCAGGGTGCATACCCAGGTTGCATGTTCGGTCCCTGGGCAGGGTGCGTATGGGAGGCAACTGATTGATGTTTCTGGCTCTCTCCCTCTCCCTTCCTCTCTCTCAAAAAATCAATTAAAAAACATATCAGGTGAGGATTTAAAAAAGTTTGGGAATATCTAATATTTTGAAGATTGTAGAGTTTTACAGTTCTTGGGACATTACCTAAATCTGAATTGAAGAGACCAGCAGTGTACAGACTGTTCCTTGCTTTGTAGTAAAAATGCACATTCTAAATCCTGAAAAATATTTTCCTTGAATATATAATTATTTTATATTTATACAGAGTCAGACTGATGCCCACAGCCTGAGAATATGTTGGTAGCGTACAAATTCTCCTACAAATAAAGAGCAGAATAGATTTTCCTGCTGCAATTCTCTACAGTACTGCCCAGAACTACCAAAATCCATAGGATAGTACAGTTTCTGGGGAAAGGCATGAAGTTTGCCTTTGGAACTCTTAGAAGAAATACAGAATTAAATGATATAATTTGTTTTTCTTAATTTACTTGGCTTACATAAGAAGGAAAATGCTTCCTTACAGAGGTATTGATAGATTTGCTCGATTTGTTCTTTAGATTAATTAGATTCTTTAGATTACAATGCTAATGTGGTTATCAGCTCCATTAAAAGAGAGCCTACCATCAGAATGGTGCATTTTCTAGAGAGAAAGAAGCTCTGAACTCTGGAATGTTGTGGCAGCATCCTCAATAAAGATTTGGCTTCACTAGATTTTCTGTCTGTTTGGATTCTGGTGAGTACTAGAGATTATTTTCACTAGAAGGGACAGACCTCCTTTATTTTATAAATGAATTTTTGCGAAGGGAAGTGTTAATTTTGTTGGGAGTTGAGTGAGGGGATCTCTTAGGAATTGACATTCAAACTGAGGTTGAATAAGTAAGTATGGGGTGGGAAATTGTATTTGTGAATTTGGGTGGAAATGAAGGATAATTGTGAACAGTGTAGGAATGATAGCAATACTATATAGTGTTTGTTATGTTCTGAGTATATGACATTTCAAACTTCAGATATCTGGTGGAGACGTTAAAGAGATTGTACACTAGATAAAGGGTAATAGGGGAGTGGGAGCTAATGTCCTGAGACATATTTCACTTTAAGTGCATGTTGGTTTAGAAATAGAGATGAAGAGCTCAGAAATGGAGCTCAGACATGAGTGTTGTCACTTTCAGTTTGGAAATAGTAATGGAAGGAGTGGAAGCAACTGAGTAAGTGTGTGAGAGCCAGGGCCGTGTGTGCAAGTGGGAGGGATGGAGGGTTAGCGTGAAGTCTTGAGATCTGCCAACAGTACTGCTCAAGTTCTTAGGTGGTAGGGAGTCGGAATGAGCAAATTAGCTTGACGACCATCAGTAGACAGGGTTAGAGAAACCTAGGGGAAAGTATGTCCCCAAAAGAGGTTATATCACACTTACTTGGTTCCCAGTAAAAGCCTGAGGTACATACATTGCATTTATTTATGCAGATGTTATTGGTGGTGATGCTAGCCAGATGGTGAGGGGATGTGAGCTTAAGGCAACTGCACCTTCAGCTTTTAGTTGGATTGTAAAGACAGGAGCAGGAGAGAAGGATCACAAGAGGAAGTAGTTCAGAGGAGGTTTTAGTTTAAAGATTAGATTTGATGGGTTTAAATGATGGGATACACTGTAACAAGAGGGAGAAGTTGCTTGTAAGGAAAACATACATTTAAATCAGTAATACAAGGTTCCTGACAAAACGGAAGAGAAAGTGGTCCTATTTGAGACCTTAGACTTAGCCAGGAGGAGAAGAGCTCTTTGACTTAATAGGAGGAGTAACTAAAGGGTATAAATACAGGAACATTGATGCATTTTCTGATAAACCTAGGTAACTTGTCAACTTACAAATAGGAGATATCTCATCTATTGAAACTGAGGGGAGTGTGAGAGTGTGTGAATTTAAAGGCATGGAGAAAGTTAGAAATATTTTGGGAGCATGAAAGATTGGTTAATTACCAAGACATGACATTTTGAAACCACTGTGAGGTGAGACTCCTCTGCAGTCAGAGACAGTCCTGGTGGAACAGGCAGATACTTGGAGATACCTTGTGTTGGGGGTCTCCTTCAGCAGATGTGGTAAATAATCAGTAGGATATAGGAAAAATGTTGGTCTTGGTAAATACCTATTGAAATGGGTAGCTGAGTTAAACTGGGCAGTAGAAATGAGGTTGGAGGCTGATGTCTGGGAATTGGGGCAATGCGGGGGTTGCCATGTGGTACAGAACATGGGCATGGGAAATACTTTTAGTTGAAAAAGCAAGAATGAGAGTACATTGCAAAAACAGTGGTGCCTTAGAGTTTTCCTTTTATTGTCACCCGAGGATATATTTTTATTGATTTTTAGAGAGAGAGGAAGTGGGGGAGAAATGTTAATGTGAGAGAGAAACATCACTTGGTTGCCCCCTGTATGCATCCCAACTGGGGATCAAACCTGAAACCTAGGTATGTGCCCTGAGCAGGAATTGAACTCACAGCCTTTTTTGGTACATGGGACAACACTCCAAACAATTGAGCCACCCACCCAGGGCATAGGCCTGTGAATTTTAATATTAAAGGTACTATTCCAGCTAAAGTCCAGATACGGTGTGTAACCCTTAAAGAATTTGAGCTTAGAAGGCGGGTGGAGGCAAATTCAAATTATACTTGTGTCCCTCTCTAATGTGTGCTTATGTGCATTGTGCATGCTTATATGCATGTGATTTTTGTAGCATTACCAAAGTTTTCTGAACCTCTGATCATGTCATTTATTACACTGATAAATGAACCATAAACAGCAGGGTTATTTTGAGGAATAAATAAGCAAATGTATGTACATCTCTAAGCACAGAATCACATTTACTAAAACTTTACTGTTACAGGTCACAAATGGGTGAGTTAAACCTGTTTCTGTTATGACTCACTATCATGAAGTGCACATAATTATTATTGCTGTTTTAGGAGGGTTTATACTTCATAAATGCTACCTCAGACACACTGAAATAATGAAATTAAGGGAAGTTGCAGCTAATATGACAGGTAAAGGGCAGGGTTTCAGCTACCACTTTTCTAATATATCAGATGGAGCAATGAAATTTTCTCTAAAAATTCCTTCATTCTATATCTTACAAGCCTACTGCCCTGTGAAGATTGTTGATCTTGATAGTAGTTCTATGACCCACCAACTGACATTATTATCTGATACAGGGGATCTTCAGGGATAAGTTTGCAAGGTCAGTGACATTCATTCCCCTAAATCGGGTGGAGAACCTTTTTTTTGCCAAGGGCCATTTGGATATTTGTAACATCATTTGTGAGCCATACAAAATTATCTACTTAAAAATTAACTGTGAAAAAAGCTGCTAGATTTATTGAATTTCGAGTTCTGCCTGCGGTTGCCTTGGCAGGGCCAGACAAATATATTTTGGCCCACGGGCCAGATGTTCCCCACCCCTAGTATAAATGGAATAAGTCACTGAATTGATTAACCAGATCATAAGATATATTCCTAATTTTCTTGGTTCATAAACAAATTCATGCATGACAAATCTAAAAGTGAGTGTTGAGGGATTGATATTCCTGGAAACCTCACTTGAAGGAGACAAAATGATTCATGACAATAGTATCTGGAATGCCAAGGACAGGAAATAGTAGGAGTGGATTGAGGCACCAGAGGGCAGGATGGAGTTGGAGAAACATTGTGTACAAACTAAGAATAATTAAGCCTGAGAAATTTTACAGTGTTTACTGGAGGTGGGGACACATGTGACATGAGTCAGGGATCTCTGTGTTTTGGCATCAAGAGGGAATTAAAAAATTCTGAACACCATGGGTTAATTAGCTTACAAAACTCATGATTTTCACACTCCTCTTTAAATTGAAGGTATTTTTATCTTCTTTTGACCCTGGTAGAGGAGAGCTCTCCCACTATTTATCTTAACAAACACTGCTGTTTCTATTGGTTGGGCTGGGGGCTGCTTCCAGGTGAAGCATTGGGGCTTCATGACAGTTGGGTCATTGTACGTAATGAAGTTTCACAGCTTCTTTCTCCTCCCTCAGCTTTCCCTCCTGTTGCTTAGACTGCGTGTCAATGAAAATCCAGAAGACAGTTGTCAGCTGAGCCAGTGACAATGGAGTCACAAGTGAGTTGGGAGTTACTCTACTGAAATGCATCTCCATTGCCAGTATATGTGTGTATTTCTCCTACAGGCATTGATGTAGTAAGTATACTCGAGATTTTTCAATGATCTGAGTTTCAGTTAAGTTTCCCCAGCACTCTGGAACGGTCGTGTTGGGTCAAGGACATATGGTAATCTCTTTCTCAACATTAAGGTATTCCAACCTCTGTTAATGCCGTGTATTTACAGGAGAGATTAGAAAGGTTTCATTTTCTCATCTCATTCATGGCCTTACACATTAGCCATATTATTAACTGTAATGGCCTTAGGATTGAGGTGATTGTCGGTGACAGATGAGGGAGGAGCAAAGCACTGTAGCCAGAAGAGGCGGCAGGTGTTTCCACAGCTGAGCTCAGTCGGCCAGCGGTACAGGTGCTGGCAGCAGTGCTGATTAGTGTTGCGGGAAAACAAATAACAGTTATGCCAGAAAAGGCAGTGAGGAGTCATTTATTTTTTTCAATTTCAAACCTCTTAAAAGCTTTGATAGAATATATTTGTGCTTTTTTTAATCCTCATTTGAGGGTATTTTTTCCATTGCTTTTCAGAGAGTGCAAGGGAGAGAGAGAGAGAAACATTGATGAGAGAGAGACACTATTGGTTGCCTCCTGCACGTGCCCCGACCAGGGCCGGGGATCAAGCCTGCAACTGAGGTACGTGCCCTTGACCAGAATCGAACCCGAGACCCTTCAGTCTGCAGCCGACGCTCTAACCACTGATCCAAACTGGCCAGGGCTATTTGTGCTTTTTGAAATCTAAGAAGGAAAACTAAAATTCTCATTATTACTCATATCCCAAATCATGAATTTTCTTTTTGTTATGCCCCCTTTTTTCGAATTTGATTAAGCGGAGGCAGTGCATAGGGAGTACTGTTTGCTTAATTTGGGTTGTGATTCAGGAAGAGTATAAAAGGTCGAGTAAAACGTAAGGCCCGGTGGAAGTTTTTGATGAATTAAAGATGCCAGAATAATCAGGTGGCTTCAGGTATGCTCGAATAGAGACAAGATGAAGAAACAAAAATGGTGACAACTGGTATTTGGATGTCCCAGAAACATTGAGAAACAGTGGCCTCAGACCATAGGAAGAGCCAGGATACTACTGTCCTTTAGAACAGAAGTCTCAGAGTCTCTGGCTTGTGCTGCTGAACCATTTATCTTTATACTTTGTAACAAACATCTGAGTTGTGTGGAGATAAAAGGCTGCTCCTGCTGATTCCCAAGTCCTGTATGAAATATGTTCAGTTTTGCAGAATTCTGGACATTGCTTCAATATCCTTTGTTATTTATTGAATAATAATAAGCATGGAGCTTGTTTTTAATGTTTGCTAGGCAGTTACCACTGTACACGTGCTCATTGGATCTTAAAATATTCATAACTACCATTAACCTGCTCATTGATGAGGAAACTGAGCGATAAAGAATAGTCTGGCCCGGCCAGGCGTGGCTCAGCGGTTGAGCGTCAACCTGGGATCCAGGCAATCAGGGTTTGATTCCCGGTCAGGGCACATGCCCTGGTTGTGGGCTCAATCAATGACTCTCTCATCATTGATGTTTCTATCTCTCTCTCCCTTTCCTTTCCTCTCTCTGGAATCAATAAAGATATATTTAAAAAAAAAAAATAGTCTGACCGTAGTCATGGTTAGAAAGGGGCAGGTCGTGGGCACTGTAGTCCTTGTGACGAGCTGTAGGTTCCCTTGAAATTGGTGGAGATGATTGTTTTAATTATACATTTTCAAGTACAAATTTTGTAATCATGATTTGGAGTCATAATTACAAGTTTATTGGGGTATCTCCAGGTTATATTACACCACATCTCATGATAATTCTTTATAATGAAATTTTATATACTTACTGTGGTTATATCTGAAAGTCAGTTGTCCAGGTCAGCAATGAGATGACATGACCGAACCCATAATACTGTTTTAACTCTCTATACACTCAGGCACCTCTTCCTTAGTGACCTACCTGCACCATTCTCCCATGGAGATTGGCAGTCATTGCCCTGTCTGAAACAATGCCCATAATGTTTTAGGAAGCAGTGTCCTTCGAGGATGTAGCTGTAGACTTCACCCAGGAAGAGTGGGCCCTGCTGGACACATCACAAAGAAAGCTCTTCACAGATGTAATGCTGGAGAGCATCAGTCATCTGGTCTCGATTGGTGAGTCTCTTAATATGTATTATGTATGTATGCACTTGTTCACTCAAAAAGCTTTCCCATTTTTATTCCAAACTTTGTCTTGATTCTTTCCTAATTCTCACACCTACCTTACAACAAGTTTCTTTACTTTTTATTTATATTTAGTTTGTAATTTTAGTAGAATGTAATCTTCCTGACACAATTTCATGTCTTACTTGCTACTCAATTTCCAACTCTCAGTGGTGGAAACTCACCATTTTTGAATGGGGAAGTACATGTATTGATTTTTTTTTTTAAAAATGATTTTGCCACAGGGACTGTGCTTAGATCAGAACACAGTATTAAAAATAGGAAGACAGGTTGTTTTCCACATAGAAATCAGATTTTTTTCCTGGTACAAGTGTCTATTAGATTTTTTGGGCTATAATCGTCAAGCACTGTGAAAACTTGTATTTTCTCACTGAATAAAAATATTGATGATTCTGCAGTCTGTCTTTGAACTTGGGTATGAGCATCAGCAGTGATAGGCCCTTACTATCTTTTGGAACAAGTTCAAGAGCTGTCATTGTGCTGGTGAGGAACTACCTTTGTTACTTTCAGGACTCTCTTGTGGGCTGACCTTCAGAGGTGTCTTATTCCTTCCCACTAGTTGACCCTGTATTGATGGTCATGTACTGTGATCAGCACAGAACTCAGAATCCACATATCACTTTCCTACAAACAGGCAGTCAACTCTACAAATCAGATGTGATTTCCCATTTGAAGGAGGAAGAGCAACTTTCAAGAGAAGGGATTGGTGTTCTGCAAGGCCAGAGTCCAGGTGAGCTCCCAGAAGCTGTGCTTCAGTAAGAGAAGGGGCCCGGTCAGTAAGTGAGTGGGCCCTAAGAATGATTAAATGAAGATATCTCAGGTTAGTGATGTTTTTTAAAATGTAGGGGACAAATCCCTAAGATGTCGTTATACCTTGCAGGTATCAACTTCTAGTCAAGTGTTTCTCATTATCTTTAGGGAAGTACATATTCATGTACTTATTGGGGTTCTCTGTTTACCCTCACCACTCCACCCTAGATTTCCATAGCTGTAGTTGAGCCCTATAACTCCATCTTCAACACCCACACTACCCTGGAGCACTGATTATGCTTTCATGGTTGACAACAAGGCCATCTATGACATCTGTTGTAGAAACCTCAATATTGAGGACTCAACCTACATTAACCTTAACCACTTTAGTAGCCAGGTCGTGTGCTCACTGCTTCTCTCGTGTTTGATGGAGCCCTGAATGATCTTACAGAATTTCAGACTGAACTGGTGCCGTAGCCCTGAATCCTCTTTCCTCTGGCTACACATGCCTGTCATCTCTGCGAAGAAAGCAGCTTACTGTGAACAGCTTTCTGTAGTAGAGATCACCAATGTGTGCTTTGAGCCAGCCAGCCAGATGGTGAGATTTAATCATTGCCGTGGCAAATACCTGGCTTGCTGCCTATTCTACTTTGGTGATATAGTTCCCCAAGATGTCAGTGCTGCCATTGCCACCATCCAGACTAATTATATGATCCAGTTTGTGGGTTGGTGCCCCACTGGTTTTTAAGTTAGCATTAATTAGCAGCCTCTCACTGTGGTACCTGGTGGAGATCTGGCTAAAATACAGTGAGATACATGTTTGCTAAGCAATACCACAGAAATGTCACAGCTGTTGCTGAGGGCACTTCCCTGGACCACAGGTTTGACCTTGTATGTCATGTGTGCCTTTGTTCACTGGTACCTGGGTCAGGGAATGGAGGAAGGAGAGTTTTCTGAGGCTCATGAGGACATGGCTGTCCTTGATAAGGACTGGGAAGAGGTTGGAACAGATAGTGCTAAGGACAAGGATAAGGCTAAAGAGTATTAACTTGCCTGCAGTCATTTTACACTCCACTGTCTTGGGACTGTCTTATTTTGTCGTTCTGTGACACTGTCTATTATGTCCCAGACTTGTCAATAAAAGTGATGTTACTTTTGTTTTTTACGTTCACAAAATGTCCCTTTTCGTAGACCTTTTCTATGAAGATTATTGCTTTCTTTTTCTCCCCAACTTGCCATCTTCGTTTTATTTTTCTTATATTCTAGTCCAGAAAATGTCAGTTGTTGACGTCTGTAGTCTGTGTTTCTTAGAGTATTCCTTAATTTGACATGCTTTCCCATTTATGTGTTAATATTTGAAACATACTCAAATGGGCATTGGGTCTCTTCAACAGTTTAATCCCCCTAATGCAGCTGTAAACAACTTTTTTCCAGTCATTTCACATAGAAGAGATGATTTTGAGAAACAAGAATTGATATCTACTCAACATTTCTACAAGGACACATCCCTAATCAGTGCAGTGGTAAGCTTTATGGGTGTGAACCTGTTCTTCCAAATAAAGACCTGGGAATTAAATAAGTTATGAGTTTGGCACAATTACCTGACTAATTAGAGTTGGTATCAAGGGCTCTCGCAGCAGAAAGTTTTCCTTAGTTTGGTTTTAGGGAATAAGTCAAACTGTAGTCAGAACCATAACATGAGGTCTTATAAACACATGATTGTATAATTCTTGCTTATGTGCCTAATCTTTGAAACATAACATCTAAAAGTTAATCAGGTATCTCTGCAGTTGGGATGCCACAAGAGAAAATCTTTATGCATATGGGAGAATAAGACCTCATGTTTATATAACTAATAGGAACAGTTTTAACTGGAACCTATCACTGAGTGATTGCTCTAGAATTTACATGTAGAGAAATGAATGAAGGAATGAATAAATGTGGGTAAAACTTTGTCTCTCATTTCCTTTCAAAAAGCAGAGATTTTACACTCAAGATCCTTTTGAATGTAATGATTTGGGAGAAAATTGTACTGAAATCTTAACATTGGCTCAGTATGTGATACCTCACGTCGGAAAGAAACCCCATATCATACAAGAATTTAGAAAAGTGATCAGTTACTTTAATCAACATAAACAAATTGATGCTAGAAGTAAATTGTATGAGTGTCAACGTGGGAATGCTTTGATTCAACACTCTGCTGTTAGACAACACAATAATACTGAAGATGGAGAGAAGACATTTAAATGTCATGTATGTGGGAAAGCCTTCAGTAAAGGTTCTAACCGTAGACGACATGAGATGATTCACACTGGAGTGAAACCACATGGATGTCATCTGTGTGGAAAGGCCTTCACTCATTGTTCTGACCTTAGAAAACACGAAAGAATTCACTTTGGAGAGAAACCATATGGATGTCATCTGTGTGGGAAAGCCTTCAGTAAAAGTTATAACCTTAGACGACATGAGATGATTCACACTCGAGAGAAACCACATGGATGTCATCTATGTGGAAAAGCCTTTACTCATTGTTCTGACCTTATAAAACATGAAAGAACTCACTTTGGAGAGAAACCATATGGGTGTCATTTATGTGGGAAGGCATTCAGTAAAACGTCTTACCTTAGACAACATGAGAGAACTCACAATCGAGAGAAACCACATGAGTGTCATCTATGTGGGAAGGCCTTTACTCATTGTTCTCACCTGAGAAAACATGAGAGAACTCACACTGGAGAGAAACCGTATGAATGTCATCAATGTGGAAAAGCCTTCACTGATTCTTCTGTCCTTAGACGACACAAGAGAACTCATACTGGAGAGAAACCATATGAATGTCATTTATGTTGGAAAGCCTTCACTGATTCTTCTGTTCTTAAACGACATGAGAGAACTCACACTGGAGAGAAGCCATATGAATGTCATCTATGTGGGAAAGCCTTCAATCACTCTTCTGTCCTTAGAAGACATGAAAGAACTCACACTGGTGAGAAACCATATGAATGCAATGTATGTGGTAAAGCCTTCAATAGAAGCTATAACTTTGGACTGCATAAGAGAATTCACACTGGAGAGAAACCATACGAATGTTATCTATGTGGAAAGGCCTTCAGCAAATATTTTAACCTTAGACAACATGGGAAAACGCACACTGTAAAGATTATAAATGTGGAAGATTCACCACCCATTGTTTCAAATTCTAAACACTCTTGAGGACTCACACATTGAAAACACACCAGTTTGTAATCAGTGTGGAAGAGCCTTTATTCATCCTTATTTCATTCAGCCGAAGTTAATTCAAGATGGAGGGAAGCCCTATGTGTGGACTGACCTGGAGGACTCAGATTGTAAAGGAATGAGTGTGTACGGGTCTTTGTTCGCAGTTCTCTTAAACAAAATGGAGAAATTGGAGGCTGGCCCTGGCGGATGAAGTTAGGTGTGGTGCCTGCAGTGTGGTGATGGTGGTGGTGGGGAAGCAGAGCAGGTGGCTGCAGCAGGGTGTGGGTCAGGGGACTGGTGAACAGGGAGGCTGGGGCTTGCAGGCCCCCATTACAACAGGATCTGGACTGCAGCCTGGACCACAAGGCACTGCTGGCTAGAGCCACTGTCACCACACACAGGGTGGTGGGCACTGTGGCAGGGATTCTGAAGCACTGTGTGATGTACCCCATTGACTGCATCATGGTGAGACTTGGACTGGCTCTGAATGCAACCTGGGGTTGACCCCACCCCTCGTTCCTGTCCAGAGCCAGGACTCCATCCAAGAGCTGGAGCCGACATGAGTTCCTTCATGGCTCCTGCCACCACCACACAGTTTGACCATACTCCATGTAAGTAAGTTCTCAGCTGGGAGCTGGTCCCAGTCAGGAACCAGGACCCACTTCTAAACATCAGTGAGATCTGAATCAAGACTCGAATGAAAATCTGTCAGCCCAAACCCTGAGTCTCAGCTGGGACTAAGCAGGAGGAGGGTGGGCATGGTATGAGAACAAGTGCATGCTGCTAACTTGATTAAGGTGAAGCCAGCTGGCATGAATCAGACCCTTAGTGCCCTGAGATGTTCTCTGGGCAAGTGCTTTTACAAGATCCTGCTGTGTCCTCCCTTAGAAGTGACAGAGCAGGAACCAGAATCTCAGATCTGTCAGCTAGGTAAAAGATTTAGTTAATAAATCTAACCCAT